TACAACACCTCTGCCCTAGGCAGCCACTAATCTATTTTCTGTCTCCAGAGAAAGTGAGAAAGCACCCCTCATGGAGATGGTCATGCTGCAATCCCTTCTCCTCCATTTCTCCCTCCTTTCAGGAATGCAAACATGCATACACACTTGCCCAGCATGTTTTTCGAACTGCCAGGCCCAGGGCTGACACTGACCAGCCATGTGGGATCCTGCTTCCTTAGGCACCAGACCACTGGCTGGCCCACACATTTCAGGTAAATGAACCATGCAATATGTGGCCTTTGTATCTGCTCCTTTCACTTAACAGAAACATTTTCAGGGTTTATCCATGTTGAATCAGGTATCAGTACTGTATTGTATTTCCTTTATTTTATTTATTTATTTTTTTTTTGAGAGAGGTTTTTGCATCAGGGTGCATGCGCTCAGCAGAGAGAGGGAGAGACAGTGAAAGGGAAAGTGAGAAATCACCCCCAAGGTGGGATAGCCATGTTGTAATCCCTTCTCCATTCTCCTCCTGGAGTCTTGGGTGTACACGCACAATATGCCTGGCGTGAGTTTCAAGCCACAGGATCTGGGACTTGAACCACAGTTGACCATGTGGGAGTCCAGTGACATAACTGTTATGCCATCTGCTGGCCCCCTGTATTTGCTTTTACTACCAAGTGGTATTCCACTGTGTAGACGCACCATACTTTCTTCCTCCGTGTGTCAGTTGATGGACATTTGGGATGTTTCCACTTTTCAGCCACTGCGAGTGATGCCGCAATGAACATTCATATACACGATTTCGTGTGGACATGTGTGTTATCAGATGGAAAGCTGCGAAGAGTTGTGTGAAATACTCGTTTCTTGAGGCTGGCAGGTGGCGTGGTGGTTAAGAGCACAGGACTCCCACATGGCCAAGTGCAGTTGGAGTCCCAGACCCCTTTCTCACTGTCTGTCTCTCTCTCTAACACTCTGTACCTCTCTGGTCAAATTAAAAAAAAAAAAAAAAAAAGTAGAGAGACCAGCAGTTAGCATAATAGCTATGTTGCCAGACTCCCACATAGCCAAAAGTAATCCATCTTTTATGTGGCATTAGTATAAAGTTGCCTTGTTTATTTTTCTTTGGGAGGAAGATATGTAAAAAATTATTCAAAAAATTCTATTTCTGTTCATTTCCTAACTGGACCACACAGCTTATTCATAGAGATTGTGTCATATGGTAATAATATGTAATTTGATCTGTGCTCATTATTAAAATGTTAATGCCTTTTTTTTTTTTTTTTTGGAGAGTGTTTTTTTTTTTTTTTTTTGCTATAGGGTGTGTGCGCTCGCCAGACAGACACAGAGACAGAGAAACAGAAAGCGAGAAAACACCCCCCAGGGGAGATGGCCACACCGCAATCCCTTTTCCTCCATTCTCCTCTCGGGATCTTGGGCATGCACGCACACGCGCCCGGTGTGAGTTTTAAGCCACCGGGTCCGGGATGCAAACCGCGGTCGACTACGTGGGAGTCCAGCAACATAGCCATTACGCTAACTGCTGGTCCTGCAAAAACCTCTCAGAAAAAAAAAAGAAAAGTAAATAAATAAAGCTAAATAGAAAGTTAATTACAAAGAGAAGTACATGTTTCTTTGGGTCCATGCCTCTAAAGTTAGAGACTTACCCTGAGGTGCAGAATGAAGCACCAAACACAAGTGAAATAGGGCAAGAGAAGTGTTTAATAGAAAAGCGAAGATTTTTTTTCCTAAAGCATTATCTTAGGGAATATACTTACCTCTCAGGGGAGATACCATGATCACCAAGGTGGCTTCCCAGGGCGACCAGCCATTGCACTCTAGATGTGCTGACCCATGAGAGTTCTCCAAATGTGGGAGACTTGACTGCATAACTTGTGGTAGTGGGGGACTGCATTGGCATTCTCCTCAGATAAAAGACAAAAAAAGGAATTATTTTAGGGACCAGCAGGTGGGGTGGGGGTTTAAGGACTAGACAATTCGGCGTGGTGGTTAAGGCACTAGACACTCCCATATGGCCGACCATGATTTGAATCCCAGACCTGGTGGCTTGCTTTCTTGCGTTCCCTCTCTTTTTCCCTCTCTCTCTGGTCAAATTAAAATAAATGAATGAATAAATAAAATTAAATAAATAATACTTTTTTAAAAAGAACCACCACCGCTACCTGCTGGCCCCAACTATAGCGATTTTAATGGGTGTGAAGTAGTATCTCTTTTTTTAAAAGAATTATTTAATTTTATGTATTACTATTTTTTAATTTGATAAGAGAGAGAGAGAAAGGGAAAGTAAGAAAAGAAGTCACCAAGTCTGTGACTTGAACCACTGTTTGCCATGTGGGAAACCAGTGCCTTAATCACCACACCACCTGCTGGCCCAGAAAAGTGAAGTTTTGGGGTTTTCTCATAGAGAGTGATTTTTTGCCATAGGGCCTGTGGGCTTGCCGGAAAGACAGAGGAGACAGAAAGCGAGAAATCACCTCTCGGGGATGGCCACTCCGCAATCCCTTCTCTATTCTCTTGGGACCTTGGGCATGCACGCAGTGTGAGTTTAAGTCACCTGGTCCAGGACTTGAATCCTGGTCAACCTAGTGGGAGTCCAGTCGACGTAACCATTATGCCATCTGCTGGTCGGGAAAAGTAAAGCTTTTTAACAGAAAAATACAACCTATGCTAGAAGGGCTGTTAGGCACGCAGCTGTCATTAGACAAGCGTACTGACAATGGGGTGAAGTATTATCTTTACTGTGGGATCTTGTCATACATATTTCATTGTAGTTGGCTCTTGTCTGATTTCGCAGGCTTCTGTTGCCTGTATACTTCTTATCAGGTAAGGGAATTTTATGACCCAGTTGGGGAAGTCATACACATGCCCAGTGTGGACTTTGACGGTGTGAACAGAGGGACAGTTATGCCCGTATCAGTTTATTGCCACCAGTGGGGAGTAGGATATTAACCAGGCATCCCAGCGTATTCCTCTGTACGCATGTGGAACAGCAGGAACAAAGACGGCAACCTCCTCCAGGCCCTTTAAAGATAGGTTAAGCAATAAAAGTAGATAACCTCTCCTCGCTTGACACCAGGGATCTGGCTACAGTCCCTGGTAATCCCGACTGGTGTGTCAGGTGTCCCTGTTGTTGGCATATTGGGACTCCCTCGTCATAATTATCTACCCAGGGAACCAGCAGTTAGCGTAATGGCTATGTCGCTGGACTCCCACATAGTTGACCGCGGTTCCCGTCCCGGACCCGGTGGCTTAAAACTCACACCGGGCGCGTGTGCATGCGTGCCCAAGATCCCGAGAGGAGAATGGAGGAGAAGGGATTGCGGCGTGACCATCCCCCCTGGGGGGTGATTTCTCGCTTTCTGTCTCTATGTCTCTCTCTGTCTGGCGAGCATACGCGCCCTATAGCGAAAACCTCTCCAAAAAAAAAAAAAATTAAAGAAAAAAAAAACTATCTACCCATAACTGTGTTTTCATTTCTCTCAGGTATATGCACGAGTGGACTTGGTGGCCATAGTGTAATGTTATGTTCAACCCTTGGAGGAACTGTCAGATTGTTCTCCAAAGTGGCTACACCATTTCCATTTCCAGCAGTGAGGGGTCCAATTTCACAACATGCTCCACTTATCATCTGACCTTTTGACTATAGTGATTTTTTTAAGAATTATTTTATTTATTCATTCATTTATTTTAATTGACCAGAGAGAGACACACACAGAGATAGAGAGAGGGAAAGTAAGAAAGGAAGCCACCAGGTCCAGGACTTGATCCATGGTCGGCCATGTGGGAGTGTCCAGTACCTAAACCACCATGCTACCTGCTGGTCCCATAGTGATTTTTATCTTTTAGTTTTCAGCTTGCTACAGGGCTCATGCATTAGCTGGAAAGAGACTGAAAGAGAGTGAGAGGGAAAGGGAGAAATCACCCCCCAGAAGGGCTGGCCATGTCACAATCCCTTCTCCATTCTCTTGATATTTTGAACATATGTGCATATGTGACTGGTGTGATTTTCAAGCCACCAGGTTCAGGACTCAAGCCACACAGTCGACCATGTGGGCTTCTGCTGCCTTAACCTCCATGCAACCTGCTGGCCTCAACTATAGCAATTTTTTTTTTTTTGGAGAGGTTTTTGCTATAGGGCACGTGCACTCGCCAGACAGAGAGAGACATAGAGACAGAAAGCGAGAAATCACCCCCCAGAGGGGATGGTCATGCCGCAATCCCTTCTTCTCCATTGTCCTCTCGGGATCTTGGGCACGCACGCACATGTGCCCGCCGTGAGTTTTAAGCCACCGGGTCCGGGATGCGAACCGTGGTCGACTACGTGGGAGTCCAGGGACATAGCCATTACGCTAACTGCTGGTTCCCTATAGCGATTTTTTTAAAGCATATTTTTAGAGGTTTTGGCTATAAGGCACATGCACGTGCCAGAAAGAAAGAGAGAGACAGAAAGACTGAAAGTGAGAAATCACCCCCCGGGGGATGGCCACACCTCAATCCCTTCTCCTCCATTCTCCTCTCAGGATCTTGGGCACATAGGCACACATGCCCGGCGTGAGTTTAAGCCACTGGGTGCAGGACTTGAACTGTGGTTGACTACATCGGAGTCCAGAGACATAGCCATTACACCAACTGCTGGTCCCTTAAAGCATTTTTTTTTTTAAGAATTATTTTTTATTTAATTTGATTTATAATAATTTTTTTTACAGAATTATTTAACTTTATTTATTTACCCATTTATTTTTAAAATTTTACCAGAGAGTGACAGAGCGAGAGAGTAAGAGTGAGAGAAAGTGAGAGAGCAAGCCACCAGGTCCAGGACTCAAACCACAGTCAGCCATGTGGGAGTCCAGCGCTCTTAACCACCACACCACCTGCTGGCCCCAATATAATTATTATTTTTTAATTTGACCAGAGAGAGAAAGTGGGAAAGCAAGCTATCAGGTCTAGGACTTGAACTGTGGTCAGCCATGTGGGAGTCCAGTGCCCCAACCACCACGCCACTTGCTGGTTCCAACTATATGATTTTAATGGATGGGAAATAGTATCCCATTGTGGAATAAACTTTTTACTTTTTTATTTACTTTTTGGAATAAACTTCTAAATTTAGAATAATTTAGGGTAAACACGGAACAGTTGCAAATACAGTACAGAGTTCATTATGCCCTCCTCCTCCAATGTCAACATCTTTTTTTAGTAACAATTTTATTGAGTTATAATTCATATATCCCATGATTCACTCTTTAACTGTGCAATTCAGTGATTATTAGTATATTCATGGGGTTAGGTAACCATCAACACTAATCTGAGAACATTTTCATTACCCGAAGAATCCTACACCTATTACCAGACACTACTTATTCCTTAAGGATCACAAATTTACTTTCTGTCTCTCTGGATTTGCCTCTTCTGGATACTTCATATACATGGATTCATATATTACGTGATCTATGTATATTCGTGGTTCACATATCAATAATGGTCATTGTAATCATATTGATAACATTAATATCTTCTTCTTAAGAAGACTATAAGCACTTCCCTATTATTACATAGATTTTTCTTTTTTAAAGAATTATTTATTTTATTTATTCATTCACTTAATTTTTTTCTTTTTTGGAGAGGTTTTTCACTATAGGGTGCGTGCACTCGCCAGACAGACAGAGAGAGACATAGAGACAGAAAGCAAGAAATCACCCCC